CATCCTGTGGTATTCATAATGCCTTGCGATCCTGTCTCTAACGATGCCTTCAAGTACTTTCAGTACCACCGAAAGCAGGCTAACGGGCTTGTAGTTAGATACATCTTCCCTTTTGCCCCCCCTTGTGGATGGGCACCACCTCGGCTTTTAGACAGTCAGAAGGCAACTCGGCCGAGGCTGGTGATCTGGTAAACAAGTGGGCTAGCGCCCCAGACACTACGCTTGCCAACAAACGCAGGATGGCGAGGTGAATCCCGTTTGGGCCGGCCGCCTTAACTCGCTTCAAACTGGTTGATAGCCAGTTCCACTTTCACGGATTCTACTACAATTTCGTCCATTTTGGGGAACGCTTTAAGGTTCTAGTAATGGCGGCTGGTCCCCGGTATCTGCAAATAATTTTTTAAATATTTCGGCTTTGCTTGCATGCCTATTTTGCCCATACGTGAAATTTCCTACTGCCACTCGTGACTGGGCCTTAGACAGTACATAGGGACTTTTATTGGCTTTTTGTGCCAATCTCGCTTCGTACTCTATCTTACAGGATCTTTGTACTCTTAGAGCATGTTCGCGCCACCTCATGAACAGAAGAATGCGAAGATGCCCCCCTGCGCTGCGGAAGAGTCTCCGTGCCACTCGCTTGCGTGTCTGCATTTTTTTGGCTCTGCGGACCCTCCAAGGTGGTCGGTCCTTCCTTCTTACCCTCCTCATTGGAGCAAACTCATCAGTGAGTCTCGTTAAGCTACCTTTTACGAGCAGCCACTCTTCCTCTGACGTGAGGATGAAGGCTGCCCACTGTGTACTCTCCGCAGCCATCCTCAGTGCCTGGTAGTCAACTTTCCGAAAGTCTTTCCTTAGACTGTGAGGGACTTACAGGGAGGTTCCCTCTGAACAGGAACCTGATCACCCCATGATCGTTCCTGCCCATAGGAGCAGTAACCCCGAGGTGGCCGACTTCTTCCGGTGTTTGCATGAGTACGAGGTCCAGAAGGCTGGTTGTCTGGCCTGTTCTCCATCGGCTTGGCTGGCTTATGTGTATGGATCTGCTCACCAACTCCACCAACCGATCGCCGAATCCACCTCGTGGTGCTCACAATCCCTCCCACCTCACTTCGGGCGAGTCCAGCTCACCGACAGTCACTAACTTATCAGACTAGGTTGCTATCCTGGCCAAGAGCTCCAGTAACAGTGCGTCTTCGTTAGGGGATTGGGATGTAGACCTGCAGACACACGTCAGGGTAGCCTTCATGTTCCCTGAACTCAGGCGGCAAGAAGCAACCTGTATGTTTGGTGTGGACATCACCCCTCCTGCCACTTGTTCGTGAACGTCCGCAACAAGCAAAAGAGCACCCCTCCTCCCCTTCCGTCTTGTCTGTCAGCCCGGTAGGCGCAGTACCCTGCTAGGGAAAACTTGTTGCTACGTCATTACTGAGCCAAGTTTCGGCAATTGCGATGCAGTCAGCCCCCTCGGTTTCAGCCATCAATTCTCTCCATGTATTCCCCACACTGCACGCATTGGTGTATACTACAGTTATTCCCCCTGTCGTGGCCACTGCCCTAGTTTCGAGTCTCGTAGGTGGCAACCGTTTTATTTGCTGGTTTTTTTTGCCATGCTGACTTTTGGTGCCTCTGATTAGCTTAATTCTTCAGCCACTGGCTTCATACCAGGTGAGGTTTCTTGCTGCTCTGCAGCTAGATTGGAATGGCAAGCTTCAGGTACATGGGAGGCCACCTGGACTGCGCCGATCTGAGTTGATCGCTCCCAGTGAGTTATTAGTGTTCACGGCTCCTGACACTGGGATACGCTTACCCTCGGAGATGGACCCAGTGCGGGCGTAGAAGCCATAAAAGGTGCTTGGGGTTGCCTTTGCGATCGCTTACTCATTGTCGAGTGATCTGGTTCCGTGCATATCTTCCCTGCCGTAGCCTTTAATATCCTGTCAGTTGCAGCAAGTAGCGCGTCACTATATCTTGAGTTTTCAAGTTCAACTAGCACTGGCCGGGGGGGGGGGCATATGATGAGGTTTCCGGTCTTAGGCACCACTTACCCAGCCTGAAAATCCTTTTGATTAGGGCATGTACTGGTAAGCTTACTGTTCTTAACACGTTCACCACTTGGTGACGCATGTCTCTCTCTCTCAGCAGGGCTACGCGAAGTAAAGGTTCAGGGATATCCCCAATCACTACGTTTCGATGTCTCCCAATGCTGTCTCGGTATCCCTGGCCAAGCTACTTCGCTGTTTCGCCAGGCTGTTGGTTTCACCCTTTAGTGATGCTAGTTCTATCTCACGAGCATCCACTAGATAACGAAGTTGGGAGATTTCTCCATTCTTTTTCAAACTCCTCAAGTCTACTCTTATCAACCGCGGACGTAAAACGTGTCAGTATATATACATGGTACAGTCGCGGGGTACATGCAACAGTAAAGTAGGTATGATCGAAAGCTCCTTCGATTGTTAGACACTTGATTGCATCAGGTCACAAAGTTGACCTGACCCAATGTTTCAAAGCATTGTTGCACGATCCAACACCGAAACTATTAGCGTTCAGTGAAGTTACTCTAATCATGATGTATCAGCCAGAACTCTGTGCACAAAAACGATTGACCCAAAATGTTTGTTTTCCTTGGCGTTACCACGACAGACTTCACTCTCCCCAACGTACGTACTGACAGAACTTTCGATTGTGCCTACTTTACTGTTGCATTTACCCCCTACTTTACCATGTACAAATGCTGACACGTTTTCCGTCCTCGGTTGAAAAGAGTAAACGAAATGCTTGCATCTCGCGACTTATATCTTCTCTCTGTTCTCAAGAAATTGATAAAGGGGACCCAGTGTTTCAAGTTCTTCCAGTCGAGTCTCCACTGCCGCCAGCTTTGGACTAGTTTTTGTAACGCTAGAGCTGGTGCAAATAACTGTTTCATTAGGAGTGACGGTGGTTTCCTGAGATCGCTGAAAACAAGTCTGTTGATCCCTGCCTAACTTGACACATTCTGTGCATACCCAGACCAGCCCACTATTGTCGAGATAAAGTTCAAAAGCTTTCACAGTAAGCACTTCTGATGAAACCAACGGTCACAGACGTCACAGAGTATTCCTGTCTCTGCTTCCTTCGAACAACTAGCAGTGCCGCAAGGGAATGTTTGGGATTCAGCGGATTTATTACTTTGCCTCCTGTTCATTTCGACGTATGTTGTCTAAGGGGGTAGAATGCACTAAATAGGAACAGGGAAAAGGTGAACAAAATCCCTGGACTCTGTGTGTTCAGCTAATAAATAACTACCGGTAGGATTCAGAGCCTTAAGCGTTTTCGATTGGCTCGCACGCGGCAACAAGCAAGAAATGACCGGCTCACCTGTGCCGTATCGTAACTGACTGCCAAGAAACTCCTTGAACTTACCTTCCTTCCGCCCCTAAGTTGCAGCTTGTCAGTGTATGTTTTCAACTTCGGTTTCAGCCACTTCGCTTGATCCAGTTCTATATGGTCCGGTCTAGCCACCTTTTATTTATTCTCGCTGTTTCCAGCACTCTTTTATCTCTGTTCCCGTGCATATGCCAACAGCTCGATCGCCAAGCAGGCTCGCGTCACGGTGTAACGCAGTTGTCTGGAAGTCTTGAAGACTCGAGGATGGCGATGAATACCTCCGGATCTTCCGGTATGAAATCCGGTATTTTCATATATGCTGCATGGCACTCCGGGAATAAAAAATGATCGGTAAAATAATGACTTTTACAAAAGGGAGGAAATGGTTGTGCCTTTCTAAGAATTGTACGCAGATGAAAACGTCCAATGGGGATGAATACACACGATAAAAATATCTCACTACTGTTAGACCGAATATATGACAGACGAAGAGAAAGAAAAACTTCCGTAGACGTCACCTGGCTTGGTCACTTCGAAGGAATTTATCAGAAACTATAAATGGAACGGGCTCACCAACTATTGGAGGTCAAACTCCCTCAGCCTCTACTATCGCGTTCGTTGAAGAAGTCGGCGAGAAAAGGCCGTGCAGTGCCAATCCCGGCTATTCTCACAGAGCCAGAGTACAGAGGTCGCATGCTAGCATGTGCCGAAGAAGTGTGTCGGAAGTAGCACTTGCGGTTTCGGAGTGCGCGAAACATGCACACAAATAAGTGGTAAACTGGGTGTGATCGGCAAAACAGTGGCACATGATCCGTAATCGAACCAAGCCATGTGAATTAACTTATTAACGGGCGTCTAATTCGTCACTTCATATAACTGAAAGAATGCTGATGGAAGCGCAAAAAAACAAACCAGATCACTGAACACGTAACCACCACATATGTCTCCTCAAGTAACATAAACACCCGCATTCACAGCGTTTGCATCAAGATCAATAATAATAGCATCATGTACTTTCAATATGCTTTCATCGACTACCTGAATAATTTGTGTCTTGTTATTTATCTTTTTCATATCAGAATTTCTTTCTTTCTTATCATAACTTGCTAATCACCAACTCCTCTTCAAGGTATCGGTAAATCAGTTTCCATTTCAAACTTACACACTGTGATCTTCACATCGTCAACAACAAGACTCCGGCTACTACAGCACACATGAGTTGTATGGTTCACCATATTTTGAATAGTTTTGGTAAAACCCTCGAATTTCATCAGAAAGTGCCAAAGCAACATCGAAAACAACAAGATTAAAGTACACAGCCATATCACACCATATTTTGAAAAGCCTGGATACCGCAGTACCTAGAAAAACTGCTGAGTATTCCGAAAAATACACCGTGGCCGGTGAAAATGAATCAATCTAACAACGCTCCAACAAGATCATTTTTTATCGACGTTGTATTTGGATATGCAAATTAAATGAGCCACATGGAATAAAATGACAACAGAATCCTCTTTCATTTGGAATTATTCTTTATAAAAATATCACGCTCAAAAAGAAGAATGCATTTGTTCTTAGAAGCTGAAGCGGAGACTGATTTATTCAGAGACAGGAAAAGTAGAAAAATCAGGAAACAATCACGCCTGGATCAGTCTCAAAAGGGTAATCATAATAAACGAGTCTACAATCATTATCATCAGCCGAATAATCATCAATGCAAATTGATTCATCAAAATGATCATCATTAGGATCATTATGATCACGATCAGGATAACCATAAAATCATCGCCAAAAATTAATTCATCAATACCATTATCAAAAACATCAACAAAATCCTCAAAATAAACAAAATTCGAATAATAATAATAATCATCATCATCATAACCATTCGAATCATCAACAGAATCATAACAATCATCATCATCATCAACATCATCATCATCGTCTGCATCATCATCATCATCATCATCATCATCATCATCATCATCATCATCATCATCATCATCATCATCATCATCATCATCATCATCATCATCAACATCACCATCATCATCATCATCATCATCATCATCATCATCGTCATCATCATCATCATCATCATCATCATCATCATCATCACAATCATCGTCATCATCGTCTTCACCATCATCATAACCATGATAATCACCATCAGCAGAAGCTTCATCATGATCATGATCGTGATCATGATCATGATCATCATTTCCGTCATCATCATCATCATCATCATCATCATCATCATCATCATCATCTTCATCATCTTCGTCGTCATCATCATCACCTTCATCAAAATCATCATCATAATCATCATCATCCTCAACATCATCATCATTATCATCATCGACATCATTATCACCATCAACATCATCATCAATATCAAATCTATCCTCATGATCGACAACATCAAAATCGACATGATCAAATTTCGGATCACGAAATTCATCATCATTATCATCGGAAGCATATACACCAAAATCATAAACATCATCGGCAAAATCATCATCATCATTATCAACATCAACATAGTCATCGTTATCATTATCATCATCGTTTTCATCATTTCCATCAATAACATAATCATCAAAATCAACATCATCGTCATCATGATCATCATCATTATCTTCATCATTATCATCACCGTCACAATCATCATCATCATCAGTACCATCAGGAACATAATCATCATCAACACCATCATCATCATCATGATCATGATGATCATCATCATCATATTCACCATCATCATCATCATTAACATCATCATCGTCATTTTCATCATGGACATCGTCATCATCATCATAATCATCAAAAACACCATCAAGTTCATCAAGATCATCAAAATCATAAAAATTTCACCTTTCTCCTATTGTCATCAATAAAATCTTCATAATCGTCATCATCATCATCATCATCATCATCATCATCATCATCATCATCATTAGTTTCCTTATCTTGGTAATCACCCGAAATTTTAATTCCATCAACAACATCATCCTCATATTCATCGACATCATCGTACACATTATCATATTCATCACGATCAGGATCATAATCTTGGTCGTGGTCATCATCAGCTGCTTCATAATCATCATTATCATCATCATCGTCATCACCATCGTCATCATTATCATCATAATCACCATCATCACTTTCGTAAACATCATCATCATCATCAACAACACCATCGTCTTCATGATCGTCATCATCGAAATCATAATGATTACCTTCGTCATCATCCTCACTATCATCAAAATCATCATCATCATCTTCTTCATCATCATAGCCATCCGAATTGTCAACTCCATCATGAACATCATCATCATACTCATCGACATCTGCCTCATGATCATTATCATGATCATGATCATGATCATGATCATCAACATCATCATCATTCACATCATCAACTTATCTTCGTGATCGTCAAATTCAGAAGCGTCCTAATCAACCTTCTGGTGATCAAACTATTCATAATTGTCATCCAAAAAATATATGCAAAAATCATCAAAATCATCAGCAAAATCAAAATCTTGATTATCAACGTGAACATCATCATGAATATCATGATCAACATCATTACCATCATCATCAACATTATGATCCACACCGTTGATCATCATCATCACCATGAATTTATCATCTTCTTCTTCATCAACATCAACTTAATCTCCATCATCAATGTCATGATCATCACCACCATAATTATCTAAATCATTTTCATCAAAATCATCATGATAATCCTCAAATTCAGAATCATTATCATCCTCCCACTCATCATCATCATCCTGATCATCACCATCATCGTCATTGTCATCATCATCAACGTCATCATCATCATCATCATCATCATCATCATCATCATCATCACAATCTTCATCAAGATCGTCAATATCATCATACGATTCATCAACATCCTCATCGTCATCAGCATCATCGTCATGATGGTCATGATCGTAATCATCATCATCAAATTCCCCCTTGATCATCTTCGTAATTATCATCATCATTTTCATCATAATCATGATCATCATCATCATAATCATGATCATCATCATCTTCATCATAATTATCATCATGATCATCACCTACACCATCGTCATATTCAATATTCGAATCATTAGCTTCATCATAATAATCATCCAAATCATAAAACCTAACATCAACAACATCATGAGCAAAATCAACATCATCTTTTCATCATCAGCATCATCATCAATATGAATAAGGTCATGAATATCATCATCAACATCATCATCATCATTATCATGATCATCAACATCATCATCCTCAATATTATCAGTATATGCATCATCAACACCATCTTCAAAATTATCATCATCTTGATTATCATCATCTTCAACTTCATCGTCGTTATCGTCATCATCGTCGTTATCACCACATAATCATCAATATCACCATCATCTTCATCATGATCATCATCTTCACTATCATCATCATTTTCGTCATCATTATCATCATCATTATCATCATCATCATCATCTTCATCATCATCATCATCATCATCATCATCATCATCATCATCATCATCACCTTCAGCATCATTATCATCAACAACATCACCATCGATATCAAAATTATCATCATCATCATTATCATCATCTTCATCTTCATCATCATTATCGTCATTATCTTAGTCATCACCAAATATTCATAACTTCACCATCAACTTCGTCATGAGCATCGTCAAAATCTTAATCATTAACATCGGCATTATCATCATCATCATGTTCACCATCATCAACGTCATCATCATCATCAACATCATCACAATCATCAACGTCATTTCCACCCCATCATGAACATTATCAGTTTCATCATCATCATCACGATCACCAACATCATCATGATCATATCCACATCATCATCATAACTTTCAGCATTATGATCATAATCGTCAAGTTCACAATCGTCATATTCAACATTCGAATCATCACCTCGATCATCATAACCATCCGAATCATACAACAACATCATCAACATCATCAGTAATATCACCATCATCATTATAATCATAATCATCAGCGTCTTTATCATTATCATTAATATTATCATCGTCATCATCGTGATCACTATATAATCATCAACATAACCACCATCAACATCATGATCATCATCAAAATCATAGTAATTTTCATCGGCATCATCATCATCATCATCATCAGTATCACTATCATCATCAACATCATCATCATCATCACCATCATCATCATCATCATCACCATCATCATCATCATCATCATCATCATCATCATCAACATCACCATCATCATCATCATCAACGTCATCTTCATCATGACCATCATCATCATCATCATCATCATCATCATCATCATCATCATCATCATCATCATCATCATCATCATCATCATCCTCAACATCATCATCATCATCATCATCATCATCATCATCATCATCATCATCATCATCACCATCATCATCATCATCATCATCATCATCATCATCATCATCATCATCATCATCATCATCATCATCATCATCATCATCATCATCATCATCATCATCATCATCATCATCCTCATCCTCATCATCCTCATCATCATCATCACCATCATAATTATCATCATTATCATCTTCTTCTTCATCTTGCTCATGATCATCTTCATCTTCATGATCATCATGATCATGATCATCATTTTCTTTTCCAGAATAATCATCGTCACTATGGTAATCGTCCGAACTATCACTCAAATCGTTTTCATCATCTTCCGGATCACCATCATCATCATCCTTATCATCAATATCATCCATTATCCATCCTCATCGTCGTGATCGTCATGATCTTCGTGCATATCTTATTTATCTTCATCACCATCTCTATTCGAATCACCGTCGTCACGATCAAATTTTGAACCACCATCCTCATCTAATAATGTTTATCGTCATCGTTTTCATCCGAATCATCATCATCGCAGTCGTCATCAACTTCATGATCATCTTTGTCAAAATCATCATCATTATCACCATCTGATATCGGCACCAACGTTATCATCACAATTATCGTCATCCGCTTCGGGAGCAAGAGTAGGTACGTGATCAATAATATCATCTCTTCCACCATCCGTATCACCACCACCACCAGTATCAACCTTATTTTCTTAATCCTCATGAAATCGTCATAAGCAATAACATATTAGTCATCGTCACAGGCACCATTCGGAATGGCTGTATATTGGACTTTAGGAGACATTCCCTGTGGGCCATCATTGTATTTATCGTTTTGATACTATTCCCGGTAATATCTTTCATGGACTGCAATTTGCTCGAATCTCTCCCACTGCTCTTCTTATTATTGGAAATCGAGTTATTAGAATGTCTCATCTCTACCTTCCCAACTGTTTCCTCCACACTTACAACAACAATGCCACGCTGACCACCACAGCGCATAAAGGTTGGAGTTTTTACATGACCGCGAATTTTTTGCCAAAACACTCCGTTTTGTTCAGAAACATTCCATACTTAACGAGTGAGGGAAAGATGACAATGTCCAATCTTGTCCTTCTTATTTTGTAAATTTTCAGCGGGTTTCACTGCATAGAACATAACTGGTGAGAGTTTTAGAGGAAACCTTGAGTCTAGTCAAGCTAAAAATATTCTACCAAGCTCTTACATAATCCTATTACAACATGGTTTTACACAATGAAGTAAGCATAAATGGCCATACAAAATATGATGATGCACCACTTATCTATCTCAGCGAAGACTGTCTCTGACGAAAGCATCATAGTACGCAAAATGCATACTTGTAATTTTTATCCTCCTCGAAGGCTTTCACAGACACAAATATAATTATGACCGTTATCATAGTCATTATCAACATCAAATAAAAGTTTATCAATACAGTCGCAATGGAAGTATCGTCAAAATCAGTCACCTTCATTTTCACAGTTAGTTTGACCTTCATCACTACGAATGACCTCAACACTTTCATCATCACCATCGTCATCAAGATCATGATCATCATTATCAACATCGTTAACTGATTTATCATCAAAAACGTCGTTGGTATCAGCATCTTTATTGCCGTCATTAGAATCTCTCGAAAAACCATTACTTTGAACTTTAGGGAGAAATCTATTGGGTATCATCACTGATTTTATCATGTCTTTGTCTTCCTCACCAAAGACTCTTTTCTACTCTGCGATTCATGAAAACCTTTATCATTCCTCTTCATAGTACGGGAAATATAATAATTGGAATGTCACATCATCTTTTCCAGCATGTGTAATTTCCAAACCTGTAAATCTAATGACACACTGGTAACTGCAGTATATAATGATCTGGAGTTTTACCATGAAGTGTGTGTAGATATGCGAGATGCCCATTACTGCGAGCAATCTTTCTCTAGGCATACTTATAATCGGGTATACGGATGAAATAATAAGTGACCTAAGTTCTTCTAGATTATTGGGGTTGCAAGCACTTTGGCTGAGAGTGGGCAGTGGCTGAAGGAATACAGCTCTACGGTCCGAATTGCTCATTGGGGGCATGCTTTTGTAAAGTCTATAAATTAATTCCGATGATCCTCCATTTCGGTCGAATTTGGTAAAATTCCGTATTTTGCTACCGGAAGCTTTGTCAGTAGACAAAGTAAATCAGTCTCCATGGATAAGGGGGAAATCCGATGGAGCTCGCCCGTTAACGGAGGATCCATGACATGGTTGCTTGCTTTTTTCACTGCCGATAAAGTCTTTCAAGTTGGTAAAATAGTACATCGAGATGTTCATACCGTCGTGGTGGTATATGGTGCTTTATATATTTGTTTTCTACTTCAAATCAATTAGATCTGAACTGCATTGGACACGGCGGCCCTCCGATGGGTCATTTTGAGGCGGTGAGTGCTGGAACAACAGAACAATGCAAATAGCAAACTGATCGAACCAAGCATAGGAGAGTCACAAAACCAAAGGGGACAGACTGTGAGTATATGGGAAGAATCTAGCAAAAGAAAAAAGGAGGCATTCAGACTGGCAGATTTGACACAGCGCGGTCTTTGGCAACCACCAATATAGCCCAGATGAGGGACTGCCGAAAAAGCTCCCTTGCGGAGTAATCGGATCAGCCAAACGGAAATAAGGCGCGAGTGAATCAAGCTAATGGCCATAGGCAACTGGATAGAACGCAATGAAAAGGCCCAAGCAGCCAGATAATCAATGTTCCTGCAGAGAGGTTTGGATATCGGACTGTGTAAAGAACTGCACGTGTTTCATGGTCTTAAATTATTTGGTCACCCAAATATGAGTGTCCTCATCTATCTTGCTCTGTTTCGTTACAATGTGGCCATCAAACGGATTCATTTTTCTTTGATTGCAGTACAAAATCTGTTAATATTGTCTACTGCTAATCTGTTATTTTAACTGGTATTTGGTTTTCTGCTACACGGTTCCAGTCTACGCAACGCATGAATCTCCGTACAAAATAGACCACATTGTGGGAGTGAGTGACATAGATTAAGAACAAAAATCACGTAATTTCAGTTCGCATCGCGTCAGAAAAGTGAATCAGAATTGTAGCATTTTTCTGGAAACTCCATTTTATCTTTCTACGTGAACTACTTTTCCAACCTACATTGTTACTGCTTTTGCAGCAGTGACGTTAAACCGATCCTTCTATGGTATTCTTTGGAAGTAGTTGATGTATTTTTCAACAGCTGTTCAAGATATTTCAACATGGAAGTGCCGGAGCATTACCATTTTCCTTCGAAAAAAAGGTAACTCGTTCGCGCTCCACTGAAACATCACACTAATAGAATGACGTGATGTATCCTATTCGGATCGTTGTAACCATAAACAGGAGAATAACTCCCTCAAATCTGTTGCATGCATAATTATTAGACAACATTTAAGCTTTATTCCATTCCTGGACCAGTGGTACTACACAGGCGTCATTTCTTTGGTTGTTTAATTGGATTACTGTCATGACACATGGAATGTACCGCGAAAAATATATTTGACAGCATGTCGTCCAGAGTCCTGATTACCTTTTGCTTCCTTCCAGCTGGTGTGGTTTCGCTCTTTTTTCCACATCGAAGTTATCATCCACCCCTCTGGCCCCTCTGAAACTGTAATTAAGTATGCTGATGCCACAACTATTTGCCATATTGTATCAACCAAGGAGGAAGAAATAACCTATCCGATAATCTCCAAAACATCGCAAGCTATTCTGAACGCAATGATCTTTTTCTCAACCTTTGCGAGTGTTCTGAATGTATCTCCATCCCATTTTGACCATCTTCACCGAATGATGTGCATACTATCCGACTGACTATCCGATTGCGAGGACACTCCATTCCAGTTTTCCCCTTATCCACCGCGAATGTACGATTGATAACTACTGACGATTGTTTCAGAGGTGAAAACCGGAATTCGACCGATATGGGTTGTAATCAGAATTAAGTTGCGGACTACACAGTGACAACACTCATTTACAACGTTTATCTACTACTGCTTCCGCGAGGGCAAAAGATATATCTAGACGAAATGAGGCTGTGTGTATGAATTGTGCAAAGTCATCAGTCTGATAATCAGGGGTAACTATTTCTCAAAAGGAAGTAAAAAAGGCGAGTGACAGTCACCAGTGATCGCAATAAGTGGGTAGGTCATCAGAACTAAATCTTAGCTTTGACGTTCAGAACGATAGTATTCACAAACGTTTACCGATATTCGTTTTACAAGTCTGACAATCAGAAAAAAAGGAAAACCTTCAGTTGTATTTAAAGTATCGGTGCACAGTAAAACATAACATGATAATCAGGTTGCCACGATTATGGTGGGTTTTTCGTCAAATACACAGGTGGAATCAAGGAATCAACTTAATCACAATAAGCTGGTACGTACTCCTATAAATATCTCAATCAGGGCTGTCAGAATGAGCCAGTATATTTGAGTACTCATTTCAAGGTTAGCATTTACACTTTCAAAGTAATAATTTGTAAATGCAGATTTCGTAAGTCCTGAATTCGAGTAGAAAATCTGACGGCTTTTCCTCGTGAGGCTGAAGGATCTCAAAGCTAACTACTGCCAATGTTTTCAGTGGCCAGATAGACATAGGAAACTCTCAGAAGTGGCCAGTAATTCTTAAACACTCTTCATAGATGACGTCAGCCATGATTAGTTCCGTACTCCAGTGACCAGTCAGATTGTTTTACTAGTCCAACAACCCTGTGAAGCCTTATCTGGTTATTCACCTGTATTACGTTTGCACTTGAATACAATACTGAATCATGCACGTCCATCCATGCTTACTTTCCGCCCGTTGAATTTGGGACACAACCTCGCCCTCAGTTCTCGCTGAATGTGTTTCATAATATGAAAATCATCATTGTATTGGTGAATTCGTTGTTCAGTTCTTACATATTCGCAGCAGAGATTCAGGCAGACGATGATAGTTCGCTAAATCACATAGATTAGACGAGTGAGAAGATTGTGATCTTTTGTGCAATTAGTCTCACGAAGCTCATGCGGAATTTACGCATAGCACGGGGAGCCGGAAATGAGAAAGGTTATCGGAGATACGTTTGTATTTTTAGAATTAAAGTTTCCACACCGCTAGCCGAAGTCGAACTGGCGAATAACCTCTTACCGGTCAACTGATGTACGTGATGAGTTATCGAGGTGTGGTTTGCCGGATGCAAATAACATAAGTGAATAATCAACGGTGCGCATCCACAATTACAGTGATACACAGTAACCGTTCTGCTCTTATTTGTTTGACTAGCCTCATCGGCCACTTCTTAAGGAACAGAGATTACC